TTTTCAAAGGGGCAAAGAATGACAGACATGCAAGCCGTGACTAAAACTGTCTCACCAGAGTGGTGACCCTCATAATGGAGCAAAAAGAAGCACCACCATGTGATGGGAACATGTCCAAGTCCTCCGTAGAGCCAAATCAAATTACAAATCAACGGATACTTTGAGATTAGCTATGGAGTCTGTATTCTCATCTACAATCAGATTAATATGCGCATAATAAGAGGGCTATGCAATTATACATTACTTTTTTTAAGGCATCAGTTGAGTTCTTGTGTTGAAACACACTAGCTGGGTGAACTTCCAAGCCTCCCAAGCTTATGCACTTCACAGGATTATCATGACCATCCAAAGACAAATATGAGTTTGGCAGAAACCAGTTTGGCTCAGTGGCTAGAGTGTCAGCCTGCAGACTGAAAGGTCTCAAGTTTGATTCTGGTCAAGGGCATGTACCTTGACTGAGGGCACATCCCCAGTGGGGGGTGTGCAGGAGGCAGCTGATCAGTGTTTCTCTCTCATGTGATGTTTCTAACTATCTCTCTCCCTTCCTTTCTGTAAAAAAATCAATAAAATATATATTTTTAAAATTATATATATATATATATATATATATATATATATATATATATATATGAATTTGAACAAAGCCTACTTTCTTATTTTCTACAAATCCTTGGTATAGGGAAGATTAAAAAAAGCTTCAAAATAATGTGTTTTCTTATAATATTACAGCTTCTGCCACTTTCTTTTTCTGGTGTGCACTTTCCCCAGGAATCAAAAATGTACCAAAATCAGGAGATGTATAGGAATCAAATAATAGGTTATGAATTTAGGTATGTGTAGGCACATATATAATTCTAAATATGTTTTTGAAGTTATCAAGTTTAACAAGCAAACTGTTAACTTTCAGAGAAGTTCATTCTCAGTTAGGATCCAGGAAGGGGAGCAAAGAGAAAGCTTTTTTTTTTTTTTTTTTTTTTTTTTTTTTTTTTTTAATATATTTTATTGATTTTGTACAGAGAGGAAGGGAGAGAGATAGAGAGCCAGAAATATCGATGAGAGAGAGTCATCGATCAGCTGCCTCTTGCACACCCCCTACTGGGGATATGCCCACAGCCAAGGTACATGCCCTTGACCGTAATCGAACCCGGGTCCCTCAGTCCCCAAGCCGACGCTCTATCCATTGAGCCAAACTGGTCTCGGCAGAAAGCTTTAATTCTGGTTGTTTGGATCAAACCAATGTGCCTATCCCTATCCCACCTATTCCTAATCATGCCATCCATCACCTTTCCCTTGGCTTACTCTGATCTATCACTACACTGCCTGCATTATAAATCAAACTTAATTTGGCATCACTACAGACTCACTGGGCCCCCATCAACAGAAAATCTAAATATTATGTAGAAGCCATCTATACATAAGGGTATTAAAGGTATTTTGGGTAAAACTTATTTGCAGCTTGGATTTAGGGAATCAGACAGCATCATGAAAGAGAGAGGGCCTTCCAAACAACAAACATATATAATCAGTGATATAAAACCAGTTTAAATACTACCTAGTGTCTTTCTATATTGAATTCAAGTCCTCCTGCCACCACAAAAAAACTCAGAACTCCTGGACCTACCACCTTGTTTTAGAGATGAGAAAAACAGGACCTCAGCTTGGGGAAGTGACTGTGTTCAAGATCACACAGCCAGTATGTGGAAGAACAGAGGCTGGAGGCCAATGCCCACTGGCATTCTGAGGAATGTCACTGCCCTTCAAGCTCTTAGGAATGGTAACTTATTGAATAACATACACATTGTCTAATTTATCTCTGAAGGTTGCAGAGTCTAAGCATCCTCAGGCTCTTATACAACAAACTGGAAAATTCTGCCAGGGTTCAGCTCTTAGAATGTGGCAGTTTGGTGCTATGGAAAAATGGCTTCTACTCCCAGCTCAGACACAAATTCTTGTGTCTCAAGTGCTCTAGCTCCCAACTAAAGTCCCTTTGCAGCCCAGAAAAAAAGTGCTAGACATTAAGGAAAATGAAAGCAGCTTTCCATTTTTAGGTGCATCCCAAGAGGCACAGTGGTGGTATCAGTGCCATGCATCTCTGCAAAGTCCTCCTCTTCATTTAGAGGTAAGTAGATATGTAAGTGAAAACCATGATTGTCTACTAGAGGCTGATGGGAGTAAAACTCGGGCTGTGTGTGCATGTGTGCATTTAATTAACACTTTGAAGCTCTTTTCTGACTTTTTGCATCAACTCCAAAGTGTTCATCCTTGAATGAATGTCTATAAACAACTTGTATTTTGTCATTTCTTATTAGTAGTAGTATTCTGAAAGGTACATAGGTGTGTTCTATTTCACTCTACAGATGAAGACACTGAGACATGAATATCCTGTTACTACAGAGCAAAACCAGGAGTAGAAATACTGAAGATCCAATACTCAGCTGCTGTTTCTCAGGATGCCCACATGGGCGTGACTACAGTAACCCCAATGAGGTGCCACCAGCTTTACAGACCAGCCTGCATCTTCATTTTGCTCAAATGACTGCTATATCATCTGTCTCCTCTTTGTTAATGCCATCCTTATTGGACAGTATTTCTTGCTCCCATCTCTACCACTCACTCAACACATACACACTCATACACATACACATGCACACACTGTCCAATTACTCCTATTCATTTTTTCAGATTCAGCTTAAGTACTATGTCTTCAAAAAGGCCCTTCCTTACCGCCCTCACCCTCCACCCCCACCCCCGCCCAGAACATGTCTTCTTATTCCATGGTCTCTCACACCAATTTCTTCTTAATACATTTACAAACAACCATTGAATTGTGACCATCTGATATGAGTCTCTATCCTCCTTGATGACAGAGACTGTCCCTGCTTTATATTATCCATTGTACCCCCAAACCCTGAGCCCAGTATCTGGTACAAAGGAAGTAATAAAGCGAATAAATGCAATAATGAGCTGATGGGTCAGCAGAAGAATACAGACTCAAATATCTTGTTAGTCGGTCTTTAAAAGTTTGTTTCTACCTCTCAACAACTGCCCACCCATCTGCCAACTTCTGTTATTCTCTCTTGACATTTCCTGTGCTTTTTCAATGCCTTGTCCTTACAGATCCTACAGCCCTGGCTTCCCTTCCTCAGATTTTTGTCTATGACAGCCTCAACCTTCAATGAAGTTTAAAAGTAAATCTGAGGCCGAAACCGGTTTGGCTAAGTGGATAGAGCGTTGGCCTGTAGACTGAAGGGTCCCAGGTTCGGTTCCGGTCAAAGGCATGTACCTTGGTTGCAGGCACATCCCCAGTAGGGGTGTGCAAGAGACAGCTGATCAATGACTCTCTCTAATCAATGTTTCTAACTCTCTATCTCTCTTTCTTCCTCTCTGTAATAAATCAATAAAATATATTTTTTTAAAAAAGTAAATCTGAGAAACTTCTCTTGAACTCTTTACAGAACATGAAATATTTTCTTCCTCTGCATTATCCCTTATGGACAGTGTTACCACATGCCAGGACTTAGACCCTTGGTCATCTGTCTCCATAGTCCCTGGGTGGGCTCAGCTCACAGGTGGTGCTCAGATAATATTGAGTGGATGAATCAAAAGATCAAGGGTTTCCAATATAAGATGTTGAGCCTCTCCAGAGCAGGATGACTTTATTAACTACTTCTGGCACAGTGTTTTGCATATAGCAGGTTACTCAACCATGAGTTGACTAAATGCCATCCTCCCCCAGAAATTATGTAGGGATGCAAGCAATGTAGTGGAAATAGTGTGAGCTTTGAAATAACTCATACGTATCTGCTATGTTCACCATCTGACAATAATGCCATTGCTCTAAGGCCATTCTGATGGGGAGTGAATATCAACACATCTAGCATTTTAGAGATGCTGCATTCATTTCAGTTACTTTTCTCTTTTCCTTCCAAGATTCACAGTGACTGGCTCACCTCACTCCTTCACATCCTGGAAAGCAAACAATGGTAAATGGATTGGAATCCAAAGTCTTAGACCCTTCCCTTGTTTCCATTTAGCCATGAGATGGCAATACCTATGCCCAGTGCCTTTTGCCAAAAACCTTTCCATTTTGATGAAGGGGAGGTGACAAAAATAGGCTCAAAGATGACTCAGCTCCAATGACTAAGGTGAAGAGGTGGTGGTGGGAAGGGCATGGGGGCTAAAGTGGAAATGAGTGAACACTATAACTGATGAAGAATGGCGCCAAGATAAATGGGTTTAATGCTGGTAGGTTCCTGGCCCTGACATGGTACAGATCAGCAGGGGCCTGAGGGCTTTCTGAGGATATCCTCCACTTTGCCAGCCTGCCAGGTGAGGGTGACTTTTCAAAGTAATTGTTGGTCATCCTTTTGCTTTCTGAAGACTTTCATCCCAACTACTGAAATATATTTAAATATCACCTTGGATGAACTTGTTTTAAAAAGTGTTCCGCAACCAATTCAAAACTGAACATGTAATGCCCTCCCTACCTGCCTCCTTCAGTTGTTTTGATGGACTGTACTACCATCTACCCAATTACTCAACCTAGGACCTGACACATCTGGGCCCCTGATTCACCTGGAGTCCCCATCACTCCATTATCTATGTCAATTCCAGTTCCCGAATTTCTCACACTGAGTTCCTTCTCTCCTTTCTCTCTGTAGCTAACTGGCCAGGTCTCATTATCATTTACTATGAATTTTGGGCATCTTCTAACTGGTCTCCTTGTCTCCAGTCCATTTTTCAGACTGTCTGCAGAATGATATGTTCAAACCTAATTTCTAAATCTTTTTATCACCCTGCTTAACATCTTTCAATGTTTTCCCAGTTTCTTCAGGAAATAGTCCAGACCCCTTCATGATCCAGGGCTTGCTCACCTCTGTTTTCACCTGCTAATCCTGCCCCACAAACTCATATGCACAGAGACATACACCCTAGATTCCCTCCAGCCCTCACTCTTTCCACCTCTGTGTCTGTGAACATTGCACAGGTAAGCACTTCTCTGCCTTTGGAAAAAGTGTTTATTTTCCCAGATTCAGTTCAATTATCATCTCTAATGTGCGGCCTTCTCAAACACCCAGAAATTAGTTGGTGGCTCCTTCTCTGAGTTTTCTCAAAACATGGTCCCTCTTCTTAAGCACCCATTGGCATTGTGACTTCTTGATTGTAGATGTCTCTCTTTACTGGACTGGGAGACTTTTGAAGACAAAGTCCTTCAATAGAATACCTACTTAACAAATATTTTTTGAATAAATGAAATGTCAAAGATAAAAATGAAGTAATCAATAACCACTTTTGTCCCCTGATCAGCAGTGTTTTCATCCATAAATAAGTATCTGATCCAGATACCTTACAAGCCTCAGATAATATATATATATATATATATATATATATATATATATATATATATATAATTTTTTTTCCAATATACAGTTCACACTTCATTAGTAGGAGATATTATTGAATTATTTCTCCCAAGGAAGGAGTTGGATGGTGGGTTCACCTACCCTGCAAAATGGCTGATTTCAATAGTTCTGATTAACTATTTATAGCTGCTCAAAGACAGTGTTCTACAAAAGGGTCCAGAAACTCAGGACCCATTCCATGGCAGGCCAGGACTCTTGCCATGTCTTAGCACAGTCATGGATATTGCCCACCCACATTGGTACTTATTTGTGAGCACTCTCATAGGCATTGTCACAGTCCTCTCGCAGGCACAGAGGGTGACACATCTGTGCAAAGGAAGCCACCCACACAATCTCACCTCCCCCACGTCACTGTCTTCATGATCTCTATACCTCCCAGTACCACCCACACACTCACACACCCACAGAGTGTTGAGTCATCTGTCTGCAAATCTGCAGAATTATGCAGTGGACCCCAGCATCTTTGAGCAGGGGAGGTAGGTGCTCCTCTGACCTGCATCATCATCCTGCCCCTCACTGAACAGCTGCTGCCAGTATACTGGCATGAGCAGACCTGAATCTATCTTCCAGTTCTCTATGGTACATTTATTTGATCTCCCCGAGCCTCATTTGTTCATCTGCTAAATGGGACTAGTGCACCTGCTTACCTTTCTTACATAGGGATGACCAAGATGTAATTCTATCTAATAAAGAGATAATATGCAAATTTGCCATCACTCTAACACACAAGATGGCGGCCCCCATATGGTCAAAAATGGCTGCCCTCATGTGGTCACAAGATGGCTGCCCTCATGTGGTCACAAGATGGCTGCCATAAGATCGCCAACAGGGGAGGGCAGTTGTGGTTGATTAGGTCAGCAGGAAAGGGCAGTTGGGAGGGACCAGGCCTGCAAGGAGGGCAGTTGGGGACAATCAGGTCTGCATGCAAGGGAGGGCAGTTGGGGAAAATCAGGCCTGCAGGGGAAGATAGTTAGGGGTGACTAGGCCTGCAGGGGAGGGCAGTTGGGGAGGACCCAGGTCTATAGGGGAGGACAGTTAGTGGGGGACCAGGCCTACAGGGGAGGGCAGTTGGGGGGGGGGGGGACCAGGCTGGCAAGGGAAGGCAGTTAGGGGAGAACAGGCTGGCAAGGGAGGACAGTTAGGGGTGACCAGGCCAGCAGGAAAGGGCAGTTGGGGGGAATTGGGCCAGCAGCGGAGGGCAGTTAGAGGTAATCAAGCTGGCAAGGGAGGACAGTTAGGGTTGACCAGGTCAGCAGGGGAGGGCAGTGGAGGCGACCAGACTGGCAGTGGAGGGCAGTTAGGAGTGACCAGGCCGGCATGGGGGAGGGAGGGCAGTTAGGGCAATCAGGCCAGCAGGGGAGCAGTTAGGCATCAATCAGGCTGGCAGGGGAGTGGTTAGGGGGTGATCAGGCAGGCAGGCAGGCAGGGAAGTGGTTGGGAGCCAGTAGTCCCAGATTGGAGAGGGTGCAGGCTGGGCTGAGGGACACCCCTCATCCCCTGTGCATGAATTTCATGCACCTGGCTTCCAGTGAACTAATAATGCAGGTTAATGTGCCTTGTAAACACAGACACATGGTAAACATGTAGGATTTATAGTTGGGATGATTGGTAGACACTAGATTCTAAGGAAGAAAGACAGAATATATTTTCAAATATAAAGGGACAATTTAAATCCATATATTTATTGAGTGCATACTATGGGCCAGACATAGTGCAAGAGATTGTCATCAACCTTAAGCAAAACTATTGCATAGTTAAGTTTAATAACATTGTAACTTAATATTCATATGTCTGAAGTCAAATGTTTCATGTTTGAAGTTGTAATATATATATATACACACATATTCATGCATTTTACAAAGTATATGGGAATAGAAACAATATTTGCATATGTACAGACATATGAATGTATGTGTGTCTGCATGTTTAAGGGGAAAAATGCTTGCCCAGGAGTCAAGAATAAAGTGTAATTAAAAAAAAGAAAGAAAGAAAGCATGAGTTTTAGAATAAGACATGCATACATAGATTCAAATTCTGACTATGACTGAAGTTTTTTTTTACCTGGACAAGTTTTGAATTCACTAAAGTTTTAATTTCTCCATATTAAAAATGGAAGTAATAAAAACTCTCCTAGGTCTGAGGTGAAAATTACATGAAACTTTGCCCACAAAAATATTGAAATCTCTAGCACAGAGAAGGCTCAATAGATGTCATTGCCTCTGTTCTGTGTTCTAATTGTCGCACTCGCCTGCTGTGGGACCTAGGGCAAATCATGGAGCCCCCTGCACACATTTTCTCATCTACAGAATGAAAGGGGGATAAACTTGACAATTCATGGATTCCTTCCAGCTTCAAAATGCTAGGGTTATGTATTGAGTATCTGTGTTATGCATGTAGGTGAATTTAAATAATGAGCACAGCCACGGGGAAGCCCCTTTAGCCTGGTGTTTGTTCCATTTCCAAAGCGTTTCCTTTCCCTGAATGCGCCATTTTCTGGCTCTCATATTTTCAATACAGGGCCTATTGATGGCTGTGAAAAGGATTGTCCGGTGCAGCTGCGGGGCCACTTGAGCCCTCTGCGCAAGCGCTCTCAAGCCCATTCGGTCTCTGAGCACTGTATTTTCAGTGCCTGTGGTGGCAGCGATGTCTGGAATCCTCAACACCTGCACATCAGCTTCCTGGGCATTTCCACTCCCCTCCCCAGTCCTCCACCCTCATCTCCCACTTGCATTTGAAATGCAGCTGCTGGGGCCCTCCAGGGGGGAGCCAAAGGGACAGGACAGCTCCTTGTTTGGCCTCCCTCTCCTGAGTCCAGGCCAATGTGAAGCGCCTCTGTGCGAGCTCTTTTGTTGCCTCGCCATTATGTTTAAATGAGCTTCATCTGCAGGAGAATTTTTTTTAATAAAATAAAATAAGACCAAAGCAGATGACATCTGTTCTTTTTATGAAAGTTGCTTTTGTTTTGTTTTCTGTTCTGAATTAAACTAAAAAAGAAAAAAAAAAAGAAAGAAAAAAGTGGGACTGGGCCTCATTTGTACCATTTCCCAAAACAAAACAAAACAAAACAAAACAAAACAAAACAAAACAAAACAAAATTAGTGTAAGCTGGTGGCAACAAGAAGAGGAGAGAAAAGGAAAAAAATAAAGAAACCCTTCCATCTTTCCAGCAGTTTTGCCATCACCCTAATACCAGGAATATACAGTGACCATTACTTTAAGTGCCACCTATTTGAAAAGAATGGTCAAATCTTTATTCTCTGTTTTCATTTCACTGGCAAAATACAGTGTGAACAAAAGTAGGTGTACAGTTATTTTTATGGAAAATAATACAATAATTAATAAATAAATAATAATACAAGAATAAGTTGTTTTATGCACTCACAACTCTAAGTTTACTTTCGCTTACCTCTGTGTTTAACTCTCTAGTAGTTATCCCAGCTTCTCCAGTAATCTCTGTTCATCTGGAGCTGCAGGTGTGTCTAATGCAGATGATACCAAGAATATAATTTGAGAAACAAAGATCTATATGCAGATAACCCCAAATCTTGATCTCCATCTTAGCTCTTGTCTACAAACTAAAGCCCCCAACTGAGCTCACACATGAAACTCAACCCTTCTTTGCCAACACCTGCCACTTGCTCTGAGTTACCTTCTCATTGAACCTCACCCAGAGCTGAATTCCTGGATATCATCTTTGATACCACTTCTCTCCTCAAGCTCCACATATCCAACCCATTGTCAATTCCATCTGTTGGCTCTTCCTCATCTCTTTTTTTCCCATCATCACTGCCTGAGTCCAGGCCATCTTCAGCTCTTGCTTGACACATGTCTACAAATTCCTCACCTAGCTGCCAGCATTGCTGTTAAGATCACTCTTTGAGCAAAGCACATTTTCTTGACTTCCCAGAATGTTCATGAGTGGGACCCTGCCTTCTTCTCTCACTAATCCCCACCCCCTACCCTCTCCTCCATCCCATACAAACTTCCTTCAGTCCTCTACCTTGCTAATGCTTCTTCCCCTGGGGCCTTTGCATATGCTGATTTCTCTACCTGGCACTCTACTGACTCTGTGTATGTGGATTTCATCTACTCAATTTTTAGATCTCAATTTAAGTGCCACTCTACCAGGAAGGCTTCCCTGACCATACCTCCCCCACCTCACGCCCCACCACCAAAACTAGGCTAAGAGCACCTACTATATAGTCTCAGGGCACCATGTGCTACCCCTTTGAGAGCTCTTGCTTAATTTATTGAAATTACTTATTTAATGGTCTGTCAACTCTGTTGGAAGTCAACAGCAATAGACTGGGCATTTCTCTTATTTGCTCTAATATGAACATGACATGAGTCTCTTTTAACATTAATGCTCCCATTCCTTTGCTTAAAATACCACTATTAGCAAAAGTCAATGTGTGTGTGTGTGTGTGTGTGATTTCAGGTATATTTTGGAAAAGCACCATAAATCCAGACTAGGAAAGTTGACTAGAGCTTTAATTTTATTTCTGGGCCCCAATCCTGCACAATCAAACTTTGGTTCACATTCTAAAGATAAAATGCCTTCATGTACAAAATCAAGCTGATAGAGCTCCTTACCTTCCTCTTAAAGTCCCTGAGATCATTTCTACCTGAAGTTCCCCCCTTTATCTTCTTCATAGTCCCTGATGGCTTCTTGAACAACATAGGACTTGGTGGTATGGGGAGCCAGGGCAAGATAGGGAGCCAACTAGCTTTCATTGTTGACCAAACACCAGGCACTCTTCAGTGTCTTACACAATTTCTCCTATTAACTCTGTGAGGTAGATGCCATTTTCCTCCATTTACCTGGCACAGACAGGAAAAGTGATTGATAGTGGGCACACTACTGTAAATGGAAGAGCTGGCACATGAACTTCCAACTCAAATTGGTCAACTCTTTGATTATAAGTTTGCACTTTTTAAGGAGTGAAATCCCAGAAGAGGAGTCTGAGAGAAATCTGGAAGCTCTCTCACAGCCTGAGAACCTTAGCAGAGTTATACAGAGCACATATAGGAAATAAAAGGCAGCAGAGGCAAAAACCAGCTCTATTAGAAGGCACACAGAATGAGAGAGAAACAGCTGGAAACCCCTTCTATCGTAAATATTGCCAACCTAGTTGTGTTTTCCAGATGGGCATCATATTGGCCAAGGTAGATCCTTGATTTTCTATAAGCATCTTTCCAAGTTGCCCATTTACTTGGCTTTGTTCACTGAATTGGTAGTTATGAATGAATGGGGCAGGTTGAATTCCACATAGTTGAATTCTAGAAGCTGAAATCTAACACAAATAGAGCTGTGTTGGAAAATTCAATGTGAGGTCAATGTTCCTAACTAATTAATTTTCTACACTCAACCCACTTTCTTACTCTCTTAACAACCAGGTGAACCAACTATAATAATACTGTCTTACCATCCTGGGCTGTAGGAATGCCATGGTTTTTGGAGTGGCCAAAAAAGAACAGGACAAAGTGAAAGTGATAGATTACTGATCAGTTGACATTTATTGAACATAGAATATCAGACATTATAAAAATGCTGTTACATATGTAATTTAGTTTAGTTTTAAATGCCCTGAAAGATTGATATTTTAAAACCACATTTTATAGATAAATTGAAGTTCAGAACTATTCATGGATTTCCTGATGATATGTAGTTCCCTTTGATTGCTTTTATTCTTACCTTCTCTCAAGTTCTTTTTCCACCCTTGGAGGAAATTTGGGGGCTAGAAAGAAATCAGAACCATGTGTTCTGTGGGGACACACTGGAGACACTCCAAGATCTGGCATCTCAGGACCAGGAAGGCTGAAGGGAAGGGAGGCCAAGTGGAAAGCAAAGGGGCTGGACCTAGAGCTTTCTGAGAAAAGATTGGAGGAACAGTAGCATTTTGCACTTAGTGTCTTCTCCAACAGCTTATGAACATGTCTTTTAAAGGTATTTGAGGTTATTTAGAAAACAATAAACTCCTATAGAAAGTATGAGTGGTAATAATAATAATAATAAAACAAAATAACAACAACAAAAGGAAGGGCAAGCGGTGAGAAGTGAACTGCTGACCTAACTTGTTGCCTTGATTTACATGGCTTGTTAATGGTTTGGCTACTCTTGTGTGGTATAGGTTGAAAAATCAGGGCTATATCTAATCCCTACTACATGAGCCAAAAGAAAAAACAAAAATTAAAACCCTCGGTTTCACATTTCTTCCATGTCCAACCAGTATCCTCACATTTGAAAGTTCAGTGTAAAACAATTATAAAAATAAATATAGATGACTACTGCCATTTTGTGGTTAAAGAATTTTAAGTATTAAGAAAGTTAATAGGTTATCCACTCTTTCAACAATTATTAATTAGGCCCCACTATATGCCAAGAACTAGGTATAGTGACAAAGCAGATGTAAAGCTTACAGGCTAATAAGTAAACGGATATTAAATGAAAATTATGTACAGGAAAATATAAAATTACAACTTGTGATATGACAGTGAGAGGCAAATCATAGGGAAGTATGAAAAAACATAGCAGAAGTGGCATAATTCATATCAGTGGGTTGGGAAAGTCCTGTCTAAAAGAGGTGATATTATGCTGTCTGCCAGGAAAGAAGTAGAGGCGAAAGAAGGCAACAGGAACAACCTGTGTAAAAGCCCAGAGGCTGGAAAGAAAGGAGGGCAGGGTAAAAGAGAAGGCCAGAGGCCCAGGCAGAGGGCATTATTATGTAGGGTCCTCTAAACCATGGCAAGAATTTTGAACTTTATTCTAAGTGCTAAGTGCAATAAGAAGTCATTGAAGGGTTTTAAACAGGAAAGACATGTGTTTTGAATAACTTCTAAAAAAATTACCCCACTCACTGTGAAAAATAAATTGAATAAGTTTGAAAACTTTTGCTGAAGTCCCTATAGAAGTTTATTAATAGAGTCTAGAAAAAATTTAAATCCTAATCTTTGACTCAAACAACAAAGACTTTTTAAAAAAACCATTATTTCTCATTTGAAATCTAAAACTGCATGTCCTTTTATTAAGCAGAATCATACTTTTAAATGCTTTCTTATCCACTAAGATGCCCTATGGTCCTAGTGGTTTGCTTCAGAGAAATGCAAAGTCTAGCTAGTTTCCCTGACCACCTTCTTCCACTTTCCAGGTTTTCTGAGAATAGTGGTTGAGAAAGGTAGTCATAATTGAGGAATAAATATATAGGTCATCTGCATCCCATTCTCCTACTCAGCCTCAACCTCATTACACAGCAGCAGCAACAAATGTCAGTGGCAGGAAGTGCACAACAAGAAGAATAAACCACATTTTTTTTTTCATCCAAACCTGCACACACACACTGTCACACACACATACAGTTGGTTTGAAGTGGGTTGAGGGGAGGTAGCCAGCCTTCTCACATTTCTAACCAATAGAATCTCATGGCAGTTATCAAAACAACTGGCTTTCAGGCAGTTGACCTTTTGTGTTGAAGGGTTTTGTGGGGAGAGGAGAGAGAAAGAAGACAGAAAACTTGGGCTTTGCATCATTTGTCATTCTAATAGATGCACACTGAATCCATTTTATGTTACAGACACATTAATTTGATTAAGATACAATCTATGGGTCATTCAGGCATATAAAGTACTCTTGCTTAATTGCAAAATTAACAATGAAATAAGATAAATCATTACAAACTGATAGTTATTCTGGAACTCATGGATTTCCAACCCCTGGTCAATTCATTTTTTCCATCTAAAGTTGTGTGTGTTTTTTGACACTTAGAATGAAAGCTCTGGGCAAAAACAACAGTAGGTGGGACACCAGCATTCAGCTCTCAAGGCATTAATTACAGGAGGTCATGCTCACTCAAACTAGGAACTGCTTGTAGAGCCATCTCAAAGGGGGTTCCAAGTATCCCTCACCCTCAGAAGCATTTATGATTAGATACACAGAACTGGGGCAAGTTATCCATATTCCACTTGGAAATCTGAAGGCTGGAATCCAGGTTTTCATTTTTACTACATTATTCTTTTCCTGTAACCTTGTTTCTTTTTAGGACTAGCCTAATTTTCAGCCCTACACAACTTATATTCAAATATCAGCTATATTCCAGGCACTGTGTTAAGTGATAAATATATAAAACAAAAGACCTAATTCTGGATTTCAACAAGCTTTCCCTCTAGTTGGTCACCGAGTTCTCTTTCCTCTGTGATTTCATGAGAAACACTTGACTATGGCATAGTGCTCACTAATGTGCTGTAGCAAAGGTCTGAAAGGCACCACGGAGATATAAAAAAAGGAAATTAATTAGGGAATGTGTGTAGAGTATGTATGATTGAATTGGTCTTAAACAAAATTAGGAGGAGTTGGTTATTGGGAGAAGAGAGGAAAGGGCATTCCCAGAGGAAGGAACAGAATGAATTAAGGCAGAGAAAGAGGGGTTCCCTTGAGGTATGTGGTCCTTACCTTGGTGTGGCAACAACCAGCTATTATTGTTTTTGTTTTGTTTTCATCTTGAGAGATAGCATTAATGGCCAAATATATATTCCAAATCTGGGAGAGAGTTAGGCACTTACCCTATACAGTATAGAGGAAGGAATTCTGGACTGGAATTCAGGAGACCCACTGTTCCCTGTGTCTAAGACACTAATGTCACCATGGGCTGGTAAGTTCACCTGCAATTGCCTAAGTCCCCATACCTGCAAAATGGGAATAAAGATCCCTTTCCCATTTACCTTACAGTTGGGTTTTGAGTGTAAGTGGGAAACTATATGTAAAGGTTTAACTTTAAAGTTTTCAACCTTTTTTTAAATAAGAATGTAAAGCACTGATGGCAAATTGAAAAAGTTAATATAATTTTAAGTGGGCAATATCATGACATATTCAGGGCCCAGCAAGCCATTCAATGGCTGACATGTAAGGAGAATGACTAAGACCGGCTTGGAGATATCCCTTGAATCTGTATAAATTTTGTATTTCATTCAATTTAAAAAAAATGGGTTAATCTATTATTTTATTCACTTAACAGATAAACAAAACTGGCTCAGACAGAACATTCAAAGTAAAAGGTAGAACCAAACATCTAAATTACTTATTCTGTGCCCTGGCAGATGGCCCCATGACTCTACCATCAGGTTTACTGTATGAGAATTTCTAAAGGTTATTGGTTACATGAAGAATAGGTATTATTTTATCCAGAAAACAGGAGGTTTAAATAGCTTCTATGATTTCTTTCAGCCCTACTGCTTCTTAACTATCTTGTAACTGGTGCAACACCAGACCCCAGCACTTAGAACGTCTTCTCAGTTCCAAGATGCTAGAGTCTGGGCAATCCTGTGTGTGGCTCAAAGAGAGTGGTGTTTATGGCAGTAAACATAGACTAAACACTCTCTAGAGACTTTGTGAGATAAGACAGGGACTTTTTTAGAGGAGCTTTCTACTGGAACTCCAAGGAATTTTGAGAAAATCAAGAAGCAAGAGAAACAAAACCGTCATGGTGTTAAAGGGAAGATTTAACTGTGTGTGTGAGACACATAGGATCACAGGACAATGAAAAGAAGAAAATAGCAAAGCAGTTTACTTCCCACTGCACATTTCTTCTGAAGGGCTTAAACCATTTTGGACATAGATGTCTATTCTCATTATTAGCAAGTTACTTTTTCTCCCAGAACTGCATAGCTTCTCTTTCCCTCATTTTTAAGAGATGTTGAGGCAATCAAGTGAAAAGCCCTTTGAAAACTGCCATGTCTACAGTGATCATTGCTTAGGTTCAGAGCTGAAGCAGGCCTTGATGTCTGTTCAATTCATCCCAGACAGTGATTTCATCTCTGTGTTCCCCTGC